AAAAAACTTTTAAATCTATTGAACGTGAACCAATTATGTATACTTCTTTTTTTTTTTAATACATAATAAAATTTTTAACCTTAATATCAACATTTTATCCGATTCGAAATTTTAAATTTAAAATTACCTTTTTTCTCTTTGAAAATAATGTTAAGAATTTGAAAAGAAAAGTATTTCAAATAGAAAATAATTAAAACTTTTTTTAAAGTATTCACAAAAAAACTAAGGAGGACACATTCGTTTAAAAATCAAATAAAGTTGGGTCAAACCAATAGTTTGTATTGTAGCACTTTTCCCTTCAACAAGTGAAAATTCTGCTATTAAATACAGTCTATGTATAGCTATCACATTATTAAAATCATTTTCATTCATATATGAAACTGTTTCTAGGATTGCATATATTTAGGATGATGCATACATGCAGTCTTTGAAATAAAGCAAAAATTAATATAAAGAGGGGATTTAACATAATGCTCGATTTTAAGTTTTAATTGTGTGAGTTAAGAAAAATAATTATACTTTTTAATGTCATGGAATATACCGTTAACTTTTTGTGTTTATAGAAATTTTAAAAAGTTTGCGGTTTCGGAAATATAAGGTGTCAAAAATTCAAATTTTACAAATTTCAAGAGGTGATAACTTGAGAAGGGGTGGAGATGGAAAAAGACTTTCTTCTAACAAAATGAATTATTTGTTAATGTCTAAAAGCCCCTAAAATTTACTTCTACAGGGTTGGGTCTAGAAGAAAAACGAAATCAAAAATTTGAAAAAAAAAGACTTTAGATAACGTTAAATTTGAACGGCCATTTTGTTTTTCTAAAGTTTAACTATAGTATACCGCGCTAGGGGAAGCAAGTTGCTACCTGTATGCGTTTGCAAAATTTCAAAAATGCTTATGGTTTCATTGCAACAAATAGTTAACAAAAGGCCATTTTTAGGGTTTTGCGGGGGTATAACTTCTAGAGGGGGGGGATAGGTAAAAATTTTTTTCTACGAAAATTAGTTTCTAGTAAAGATCTATGTACGTATTAAATTTCAGCTTTCTATCTTCAAGGTTGTACAAGTTTTGTAAACAAAAAAAGTATCCACGGACGGACGGACGGACGGACAGAGGGAAACTAATAAGCACTTTTTTTCAAAAATTTCTTGGAAAAGTGCTAAAAAGTAGGGTATTTCTTTATTGCATTTGGAATTAGAGTAATCTTATGTAACATAATAGGTAATATTTTTTTTTTTGAAAATTCTTACGTACATAGTGGACGTTTGTACATATTTCTCTTTTATGTTTTTATATTATTGGTATATAGAGGAAACTTTTTATATGTTGTTGGTAAATAGTTCCGTAGAAAATTGTCCAATGCCAAATTAAATCAGTTTCGCCTAAAAAACAAACCATCTAATTAAATATTATTTAGGTAAATGCATTCAATAACCAACTAATTTCACGTTTTGATCGTATTAATCAATTTACGATTTAAAGTATCTAGACTTTAAATCTTACTTTTCTTACTATAACACAAAAAATCTTTAGCTCACATTGGATGAATCTATTGGAAAATAATATTAAATTTGTATTTGATATAATTTTCTGATCAAAATTTCCATAAGAATCTTCTACCACAACATACCATAATTGAACTTGAAAAAAAAAAAAAAACAAAATAAATCTGAAATCCGTTTTTCCAAAATTTTTGATATCGTTTTTCTTCTAGACTGTAAATCTTAAATTTTAACAGCTTTTAAATTCTAATAGTGCTATATTACAAACCATTGATTTGATGACAACTTTAGGTCTTCTTTAAACTTTTGCTAGTCAGCTATATATTTACAAAATTTTGAAATTTTTGCTTTCAACTTGAATTTACAATATAGAAACTTTTCTTAAATATTATATAAAACTTAATATATTATAATAATATCTTAAATATTATAATTAAGAGACTTCCTGAATTACTTAAATTATATTTATTATTATTATTGCATTAAATTCAAAATAATTTACTAGAGAAATTGTGAAAATTTAAATACTTAACATATTGCCGACCGATCGGGAAGATCTCCCCGTTATAAAAAATCTCAGTGTTCGACCGATCGGGGAAATCTCCCCGTTTGACAATGTAAAGCAATGGAGTACTGCATACATGGTTTTAAGTATATTAAATATATATATATTTTATATTATATATTTTGATGACCTTTTCTCTTCGTTAATCGCTATATATAACGGCTGATATTTGATCATAGCTTATAGTATCATCGTCTAAAATTCCAGTCTGAATACAATTTTTGTATACTAAGCAGAACAACTCTATATCTTTTTTGTAATATATTTTTGTAATATAATAAAAGACCTCAATAAAATGCCCCAGAAAATTGAAAATGCTTTTGATGAATTTTATACGTTGATACTGAATCAGAATTTTCAGAAAACAATGTTGATAGCGCGGTGGATAGCTTATATTCAGTTGAAATTCAGTTTCGGTCGGCAATGTGTTAATAAATAATAAAAGAAAAACCAATCTATACTAACGATATATCATTTTACTTAGGCGCAAGAGTCAAATTTAAGTATATATTATTTTTTATATAAAATAAAATGGCAAGTCATTAAAAAAATATTGATTTCATATGTAATATATACATACAATATATTTTAAAATCATGTTCCATCTCATACCATATACACACACTTGTACCTCTGTGATATATGAATGTACATATATTCATTTAAATATATGTTCATGAAGAAGCTTATAAATTAATATATAATAACAAAATGTATGTATATACATTATGTGTATATGTTCACGTCATATTAATATCCTTGATCTCTTTAATTTTTGGAAAACATTTCTAATATCTCGTCATTTTGTGGTTTATTATTTCTTTTTTTTTTTGTTGTTCGTACATTATACCTTTTAACTTACATATATATACATACATATATATTTCTCTTTTGAAAATTGAAACCAATATGAATATAAGAAAACAATTTTTTTTTTTTTTGGTTTTTTTTCCATGGAAATGATCATGAAATTTTAAAGTAAATATGTACATGAATTATGGTATAATATTATTCCTACATGAATATGTATGAATGAATTTTATTATATATCTTGTATATTTTTTATCCTACACATAAGAAAAAACATCAGAATACAAAAAAGGATATAACATTACACAAACGAAAAACATGTATAATCGTATGTGTAATATGAAAACCTTTAAATGAATTATTAATTGAGTGACAAGAGGAATCAAACATTATAGCATTATACATGTACGTATATGTATGTATGTGGCATTGAAAACAATTTAAAATGAATAGATTTTAAAATTATTTGACAATAAAATTTTTACGAGTGTGTTTTTTTTTTCTTTGTCGAAAATATTAAATTCGAATACGCATGAATTAGATATAAATAACTTCAAAATTGTATTTAATCACCCCCTGGAACATAACGCCATTTGGTAGAATGTAAATGAAATTTAAAATTTACATTCTCCGGAATGCAAACCTGCGGTCGTGCTATATGTAATTCAAAAATGGAAAAGTAGTACTATATACAAATTGATTGAAACTACCTTATCATTTTTCCAACATTATTCCAAATTCAAATATTTCAATACCATTTTCGTAATTCAAAATTAAATATAAGAACCTATAATTTTGAAAACATGGTTTTGCATTATAAATTTAATTGATAAAAAAAAATATAAAAATTGATCCTTTGGAGAAAAATGGATTGTTTAATGAAAAAAACAGACGGCCAAAAAAAAAATAGAATTGGAAGTAAAAAGTAAAAATTTTGAGTGAAAAAGCAAATGTTTAGATCTTATACTGATTCTAGAATAAATTAAATTTTTTTTTGAATAAAGTAATTTAAATATGAAAATATTTTAAAATTACGAACAAAATTTAAATGAACTCGTTAAATTTTAATTTTTGAATGACATTCGACAGAAACAAAAAATGTAAACACTATTCCATTTCAATTCTCAAAATAATTACATAACACCATTTTCCAAAAATTTCATTTTTATAGAAAATGCGTTTCATATACTAGAACAAAAATATTCCTATTCCCTTGTAATATTCTAATTTTAAGAGTCCTGGAACATAGGAAATTGTATTATACTAAAAAATTCTGCATTTATAATTTGTAAGCTAAATTTTAAATAAATTAATGAAATTTTTGAGCCAAGCTACGTTACAAATTATGACTTAACATATTTAATTTTAACTCTTTAAAGATTATCTTTAATATTATTAAGTAAATATTCACAAAATGAGGCTGCATTTCAGTGTATATTTAATGTGAAAATTTATTGTGTCATATTCCCGAATTTAATTTATAAACAAGCACTGAAATCTCAAATAAATTTAAATATAAATTAATTCACCTTGATTTAGATTATTACATAATTAGATTTAGATCTAAATAATTAAGGAAATTATGTATAGATTCCACATAAGTAGCTATAATTTTTATGAAAAAAGTCAACATAAATTTATGTTGTAACAGAATGTTGCTCTTACCCAGACTGTTTATCATTAGATTTTTTGTACTTTTTTTCTTATCCTATTGTTTCAACATTTCTTATTCTTAGTTTTCTAGTTGAGAAGTTGAAAAACTTCTTTATTCCAAAATCATAATTATTTTCTGGTTATAAATTTTTTGTTTGATTACTACTTTGTATTCAATGCGCAGTAATGCATATTTTTACCTATAAAAAATTTAATGAAAATATTGCATACTTTTAGGATGTGCTTAAAAAAAAAATTACATAGCTATTAAACAACAAAAATAAAATTGACAATATTATTATGTATTGTAGTGTTGTGTTAAAAAAATGACATTTCAAAAACTGATAACGAAGTTTTTATAGACACAAAAAAAATGGAAGCGTTATAAATCCTAGTTTAAAACTTAAAAAGTACGAGCTATTATTAATTACATTATGTTATTATAAAATCTTGTTTTTATTTTTTTTTACAGCCTCCCATCAGCAAAAACTCGCTCAAGTTGATACATCTGAACGTGACGATTGGAGACGAAGGGTATCAGAATCAGATAGACCATTATTGGAGGCATTATTAGATGAAGAAAAACATGAAAATGCTAGACGCCGTCACTTAAGTAATGGAAGATTTTTAACAATGCATAAAAGACGTCGCAAGAAGTTAACAACACGTTCTTTAAATCAGGATCCAGCTATATTAGATGACGTTCTTCATGGACAAGTTCAGTGTATATTAAATCGTGTTGGTGACTGGCGATTTAATGCATTTACATTAGAAACTGTAACTGGAGGTAAAAAATCAATTTAATAATCAATATTATTTATTTATGATATACTTTTTGACTAATACTTATTTAATATTTTCTATTTTTTGCTTTTAAATAGGACGTTCACTGCCTGTTATATGTGTTCACTTGTTCCATTGGTACGGCCTTTTGGACCATTTTAATTTAGATGTAGTTAGATTATGGAAATTATTTACCCTCATCGAAGAGGGATATCATAGCACAAATCCGTATCATAATTCAATACATGCGACTGATGTAACACAAGCAATGCATTGTTTTTTACAAGAACATAAAATTTATGAAAATTTAAAACCAATTGAAATATTGGCTTCATTACTTGGTGCTGTAACACATGATTTAGATCATCCAGGTGTTAATCAACCATTTTTAATAGCAACATCAAATCATTTAGCTGCTCTCTATGAAAATACATCTGTATTAGAAAATCATCATTGGCGTTCAGCTGTTGGTTGTTTATTAGAATCTGGTGTTGCAGAACAAATTCAAGATATACGACCAATTGTTGAAAAGCAAATAGCATCATTAATATTAGCAACAGATATAACAAGACAAACCGAATTTTTAGAAACATTTCGTAAATATTTAGATACGAATACATTAGATATGACAATTGCTGAGAACCGTCATTTTATATTACAAATATCACTTAAATGTGCTGATATATCGAATCCATGCAGGCCATGGGATATTAGTAAAAAATGGAGTCAAAAAGTATGTGAAGAATTCTTTAGACAGGGTGATTATGAAAGACAATTAAATCTTCCGGTTACATCATTATGTGATCGTTTTACGAATTCGGTTCCAAAAATTCAAGTAGGATTTTTTAAATTTGTTGTAACACCATTATTTATTGAATGGCATAGATTTTTGAATACAAAATTATCGACACGTATGATGAAATATTTAAGGGAAAATGAAGTGCAATGGTCCAATCGTGTTGCAGCTGAACAAGCTGAAGAAACGAAAACTGAAATATCTGATGATGATATTTTAGATGAAGATTATGCTGGTGGTGCTGATAATATTATAAATGTCGATAATGATAATGAAGATGATATTGGAGAAGCAGCTGATATTTGTCTTGAATTATCTGATAGTTCAGAAGTTTTATTACCAGAAATAAAATTACCACGACGTAGCTCTCTTCAAGTACCGAAATTCGGTAGATCACACTTTGATCGTAGACATTCTGTACCAGTTAACCCACCGAAAATAATTCTTCCGCCAAAGGAATCCCGCGATAATGCTGTTTCTAGCAGTGGTACTGGAAGTGAACATGGGCCAACTTTAACACTACGTGAAGACTTTGAAAGTAGATTTGATGATTCCTTTTCAATTCTTTCATCAGACAGTGAGAGTGGTTTAAGAAAATCATCTGGTGGTAGTTTTGGTGAGCGTGAACGACCACTAAGTGCAGAAACTTTATTACCAGAATTAAATATTGCAACAATGAGTAAGAGTGAGTGTGCGGATCGTTTAAATATTGTTATGCATGGTGGATTGAATTCTTTAAGCACAAATATGTTAACAGCCAATAGCACTTCCAAGCAATTGATTCGACAGCAAACATTTCCTCCTCTACAACCGTATATACGAGCGCGTTATATGTCAGCTGGTGCTGAAATGTCAGGTTGTGTTGCAGAATCAAGTAGCTCAAATAGCTCTCAAAATGGACAATCCACTGAACCTTTAACTCATCAGGGCTCTAAAAAGAAATCCAAAAAGGATAGTTTTAAACGTGAAGCATCACTTGGTAATGGATCATTTCAAGTTGAAAATAAATCTCATAAAATGGCAAAATTATCTATACCCGGTCAAAAAGAAAATGTTGATCCATCTAAATTAAAATTAGGGCAAGGTAAACGTAGAGGTTCAGCTCCTGTTGATATAACATGTACAACAATAACTGCAACAACAACTACAACAACTGGAACATCATCAAAAAGTTCAGGAACTGATCAATATAATTTGATTGTTCGAACATGTGATAAATTTATACGAAGAGGTTCAATGCCAGTTGATGTTATACATATGTGTAAGTAAATCACGTACACTAATTCTATAATATAATTCTATAATATAATTCAAACAATACTTAACAAGTAAATTTATTATTATAGCTTCTATTGAGACAACTCGTGATAATGAAAGTCTCCTATTAAATCCATCAACATTTCAAAGACGTGGCTCTATACCATTTGATCATAGTTCATCAGTAAATCGCTCAAATAATTTTAATGGTAAATCCAGAAATCGTAAAAAGTTATTAAGAAGACGTTCATCAGGTGGTGCTGAAATTTTAAGTCCTATTATGGCTGAACCTGATTCTGGTAGCAGTAGCAGTACTTCACAAGCATGGTATCGTTTTAAACGTCAAAAATCTGATGTTGAATCTATATTGAATCGTAGAAGGGGATCATTACCCGTAGAAGTTTTAGCTATTTGTCATTCAGGTAATATAAAATCTTTAATAATTTTTATAGAGCAGTTCGAAACGATTCCCAATAATTTGTTATATACATTAAGATTCCTGTGAAATAATTAAATATATAAAATTTTTTGATTTTTATTTACTTTTAGGAACATTACGTCATTAAATCTTCAATTTAATGGAGGAGGAATATAACTGCAAAAGAATATAATATAAGCGGGATTATTAAGTGGAATATAAATGAAAATTAAGGAAGCTATACAACAAAACTGAATCGACTGGACTCTGATATATAATAAATACACATATATTTAAAAAAAATCTTTCATTATTCATTTTATCTCAAAAAGAACAAAACAAACATACTTTAATACTTATAATTTTAATTAAATAATTAATAGATATTAAATATTTAAAATATTTAATATTTAAAAACAAAAATTTAAGAACGAAACATGAATAAATGGAAAAAATGTAATATTATTCATTTCAACACATAATTAAGACTAGAAAAATACAAACAAAAATTAAAATATAACATTTTGTTATAAAGCAAAAACAAAAAAGCAAAGAACATTAATTAAAAACATTAGACTTAGGATTTACCTATATATTAAATAACTTAAAATTAATTTACATTATTAATTTTAAGAGAAAATTTTGTAAATTTTTGGGCTGGCCTCAAAATTATGTGTAGAAATTTAAATTTAGCTTGTAAACACAAAAAAAAATTGTAACATTTAAATACTGCTACAAAGAAAAAAAAGAAGAAACATTTAAATCAAAATGAAAATCAATACAAAATTAAATAGAATTCAAAACAAAAATGAACAAAATACAAAATAATCAAAAATAAAATTATTATAATTTTAAATTCAACAAAAAAAAAATCGACTTCACAAAAAAAAAAATCATAAAACATAATTAAATATACATTTATAATAATATTTATTAGATAATAAAATTCACTAGACAAAAATTAAAATTGCATGTAAAGAAATGAAATATTAAAAAAATATTCACAATTTAAAAAGAAAACAAAAAAGACTTAAAATCTAATTATAATGACTTTGTTTTTCGCTATTATTTAAAATCAAAAAATTTATTTTCAATTCAAAGGATTGTGTTTAAAAATTAATAACATAATATGATATTAATATTTGACTTAAAATATTTTCTACCCATTTGATTTCTCCAAAATCGTATTAAAAATAATAAACTGACTATACTAAATTCTATTTTTCATTCAAATTGGTATTCGATGAAAGAACGAAATCAATACTTATGATTTGAAAATTTCATGATTAAATTAATTAATTAATAATTAAATTTTTGATTAGTAAATTTATTTATAACTTAAAATCATACTCATATTATGCTATTACAGCATATCCAAAAAAGACCAAATAATTTTTTTTGAAAATATTTTATTATTTTTGTAAAATTTAAAAATATAAATAAAGTAAAAATTTATTATTAATAAAAGAACTAAATATAAACAAATTATCCAAAAAAATTATTCTAAATTATTAAATTGTTTGAATTAAAATTATTCAATTAAAAATTTATTAAAAGTTTTAATTTCAAAATAATGACAATGAAATTACCCAGTCAGACCAGCTAAAAAATTCCTTTAAAATCAATTTTTGATAAACAATTTTATTTAAAAAAAAAATGAGAATAGTTTTATTAACTTAATTTTTAATTAATATTAAAATAAATTATAAATTTTAATTGTAAAAACACAATCCTTCTGAATAAAATTTAATATATTTAAAGATTTTGTTTGACCTACATACATAAATGTAATTTATTGAGCGTCTTTTCAATTTATTGGAAAAAAAAACCTAATGTAATAATACAATAAATTTGTTATTTTAAAGAAATATGAATAAAATACAACTTGCAAAAGAAAATAGCTTTTATAGAAATATATTAATATTAATATACAAAATGAACTTAAAACTGAAGTACATAATTATATAAAAGGAAAAATAATTGAAATAAAATTTACAATAAATTTACTAAAACTAACAATAGCAAATAAAAATAAAATAAACTTAAAATAGAAAATAGCACTTTATTGATTACACAAAAAAAAATATATATATATATATAAATATATATATATATATATAATAAAAACTGAATTTATAACTAAAATAACTAAAAATAAAAATTTTCTTATTTTGCAATTTTCAAAAATTCTATTTTTAAATATATTCTAATATAAAATAAATATGAAAGAATAGAAATTTGAACAGAAACTGAACCAATATTTTATTATATACTTTTTTTTTTAATTTGAAATAATATTTGAAAAGACCAAATAAAAATCTAAATATCCGTCTTTGTATTACTATTTTGATTTTAATAAATGATAAATAATAAAAAAAAACCATTGTTTCGCAATAATATAAAATTTCGAACTGATCCCATTTTAAAAATCATTAATATTGTACCCCAAAACAAAAATTAAGAAATTTAAATTATATTTATTCGAAAAATTAATTTCAATATAATTTTTCTTATAATTAATACGAAAAGGAAAATCTTTTCAAAAATATTAATATTATTGTTTATGCTCAAAATTAAAAACTAATTCAAAATTCAAATACAAAAATAAATGCTCATAATTATTTCAATTAAATCATAATTAATTTCAGTTCCAGAATTAAATTCTCTACAATTTTCATTTTATGTTCAAATATAAATTAATTAAACAATATTTTATAATAAAATCGTTTTTGAATTAAAGTAATGAAATTTCTTTATAAATATTGAAATATTGAAATATTTGAACAAACATTGAAAATGCATATTTCTATAAATTTATTTCTTTACTTAAAACACATATATAACATAAAATTCTCTTTTATTTAAAATTTCAATCTTATTCAGATTAAAAATACATTTCTAAATAATTTCGTTCCAAAATCATACAAAAAATAATTATTAAAATAAAAACAAAATTTTTAAATTAAATTTTAACAAAAAAAAAAATATATGTATATTTGGATTTCAAAAAACAAATGAACTGAATTTCAAAATCGAAATAACAAAAAAAAAAATCTTATTATAAAAAATTTATTTTGGAATATTTTCTCTAACAAAAAAAAAAAAACAAAAATTTAAAAAAAAAACGAAAATGGACCATAAATTTTCTATTTCTTAAAGAAAATTAACCATAGCTATCTTTCTCCACTCTTTTACAAGCAAAAACCAAAAATACAAAAAAAAAAAATTATATAAGAAAAAATATAAGCAAAATTCAATTGATATAAAATTACAATTTTACAAAATTCATACATACATTACATATATTGGACCAACATATGAACGCATGTACTGTGGATATTTAGTGCGCTATACCCTCTATATTATAATATAAGTAAAATAATTATAATTATATATATATATAAAAAATATATATGTAGATTTTTCATAATTTAAAATTATAATATAAATAAATAAACAATTTAAGAAATTTATTTAATGTATAAAGAGAAAGAAACTCATAAAACAAGCTCAAACAAAAAGCTTAAACTTAATTAAATTAAAAGAAAAACAAGAAAAATCTAATCAGAAAATAAGCTAAATTATATATAAAAGATAAAAAAAAAATAAAATAGCAATAAAATTTTAAGGATATTCATGCTCTCTCTCTCTCTCTCTCTCTCTCTCTGTAATGCAATCTAGGAATTGTATTTTAATTATCTAAATCTAAATAAGTTTTAACATCAATTAAAATTATTTATAATTTTATATTCTAATATTTATAAAACATATCATTCTTTATAAAATTTTTTATTATCGTAAAAAAAAAAAAACAAAAAAATTGTTATATTATCTAAAATTTAATTGGTAATTGTTAATTTTCAAAAGAATAAATATTTTTAATTATTATTAATACTATTATTAGGGTCATATTGCACTAACCACATAATTTTACTTCTTTATTTAATTAATTAATTTAAAATATTTGCAAAGTTCCACCAAGAGTCAAACACTAAGAAACTATAACAATACTTTGACTAATTTAATTTTTTTTTTTTGAAAAATTAAAAAGTAGAAGTAAAAGTGATTGGTGCACCCTGATCACTACTTATTCAAGTATTCAAACATAGTTAATCTCTTATTAACTATTATTCAAGTTTATTAGAACTTGAACTATTTAATTTTAAATTTTCTTTAACCTTCATCTTACGTAATATGTATGTATTAAATTCATAATATGCAAAATATCATTTATATTTTCAAAATTATTCTATTTTATTATACTAATAAATAACAATCTAGATTGCAAAATTTTTCTTTTGTTTTTTTTAATTTGTTTATTAGAAATTTCTACACGAATATCCAAAATGATAGTTAAATGTTTGACAAAATGAATAAAAAAAAAATAATTGTAAAATATCTATTAAATTTACATAATTATGTGTAGATGCTACAAAATAAATTTTTTTTTTTAAAAATATACAAATTGTATGCAATTATGAAAAAAGAAATAATTTTAAAGGAAACAGAAAAGCAAGAAAATAAATAAATAAATAATTAAAACCAGCTGGACTGGTTTCATATAAATTCTACATCGTATAGTTAAAATAAATTTGAAAGAAACCAATTAAAAAAAAAAAAAAATTCAAAATTTTAAAAAAATATAGAAATTGAAATGAAAGCTTAATCAATAAATTCGTATACATACAATATTTATGTATACATATACAAAAACATATAGTTAATTAAATTTAAAACAAACAAAAAAAAAACAAAAGTACTAACTTAAATATTAATAACAAAATAGTAATATTATAATTAACTTTTAAGAAAAATTATAATAAAAAATTTAATTTTTGCCATACAAAAACAAAAAATAGGTTTGATTCAAATTTTTTAAGCTTTAATATAAAGATTTCGGAATGTTTTAATATGAATAAAAATAATTTAAAATAAAATACAAAATTTTCGTTATACGAGATATAATATTTATGAATGTGTATTACAATTATTAAAAAAAAAAAATTTCAACGAGTCAATAAAAAATACAATGTAAATAAAATTTCAATTTTAAAACTAACCTAAAAACTCTTAATTACGAGTATATTATAAAATAATTTTTTGTTAACATTATAATGAAATTATTTGAAAAAGAAAAAATTGATTTTAATAATTTAACATTATTTCAAAAAAATTATTATTTTTATTGACTCAAAACGTAAATTAGACAATTTTTCGTTATTTTAATAAATTTTAATTGCATATAAAAAAATAAGCATTATAATTTATAAATATTTTCAAATTTAATAATATTTATATAAATTTTTAGAAACTATCACTCATATTCTGTTAGTTGCATCACTTGTGACGTGATGGAATATTTAAAAAAAAATTAATTTTTGTTTTCAGTATAGAATTTCAAATTAAAATTTTCAATTAATTTTATTCTTAAAAACATAAAATTTCTGAATAACAATCCATCACATCAAATAATGCAATTAAAAGAATATAAGTGTATCATAATTAATTTATTTTTTTTTTATATAAATAAAATGATAGATAATGCAATAATTTTTTCTTAGTAAATTATTATAGATATTTTTGTATAACAAAAATTTTTAATTATATAGACATAATTGTAAAAATTAATATTATTTTTTGAATGCGAACAAAAATTTTCAAAATTAAAAATTTAATAATATTATTGTATGCAAGTACATTATACAATATATTTTATATTATTTAATGTTTTATACATTATATAATTAAAAAAAAAATATTTCGGGTTTCTCCTTAAATTCTTCATAATTTTTCAATGACGGAAACTAAAATTTAAAAAAAAATCTATTACTTAAGGTGAAAAATTCTCAAAATAAATTAAAAAAAATTTCAATAAATATTCTGCAAATGAGAATTTCACAAAATAGTAAAAGTCTGCTTTCAAATCCATTTTCTCATAATAGTAAATTTTCTTGAGGCAGCATAAATATTCTTGAAAAGATTAACTAACATTATTGAACAGTGAAGCTCTATAAAACTGAAAATAACAATTCAAAATATTATTATTAAGTTAATAAACAATTAAAAATATATTATTATTTTGTAATTAATTTCCAAAAAAAATAAAAAAAAATAGAAAT